CAACGCGTACAATGTTTGAGACCATGTTTGTGAGCACAGCTCACAATGAGCGCACCAGAAAGCAACATAATTTGCGGTGAACACTATTCACTGCCTATGCAACTGAAACCCTACAAAAGGAAAACGATACACCAAAACGATCAGTTTATTTTCATGCAGTCATGAATGGTGCCTCTATGGATTAATTTAAGGAATATTGCTATTGGCCGACTGCAGGTAGGAGAAAGTCAAAGTCAGGCATCGAAACGTGACTTTGGCACCGGTTCCAAGCCACTGGCTTAGTTGAAGACCAACATCGTAGTGGACGACCCTCAGTGACAACAGTAGTGGAGAATCGCTTTATTCGGTTTCATCACCTCAGAGACAGATTTACAACAGCTTACGCTGTCCTTATGCGTCCCCACCGCCAAAATAGACTTCTTTGGGATAACCAACATCGTCCATGGGCCAACCAACACATCGTCCATGGGCCAACCAACATCGTCCATGGGCAAGTGACAATCAGTGGAGATGTGTCTGGTTCAGTGACGAATCTTTCTTTTTGTTGCAGCCTCATGATAGAGGGCGTAGGGTCTACAGTAGACAAAATAAAGGTGTAGCTCAAAATTGTGTTGATGATGAAGCTCTGCTGCACGGTGGTGGAGGTGTAATGGTATGGGGAATGATCAGTTACATCTGAAGTAGTCAATTGATGCACACTGAAGGAAGCTTGAATGCGCAACGATACGTCCATGAAATTCTTCAACCACATGTCCTTCCATTTTGGTATGCCAACAGATATCTTTTTTCAACAGGATAGCATGAGACCCCATTCTTCACAGCTGACCACGCAGTTCCTGGCTGCAAATAACATTCAAACCCTTACTTGGCTATCCCTATCTGCAGACATGAGTCCGATTGAGCACCTGTGGGATAAGCTGCAAAGACGTGTTTGTTGCCAAAACATTGCTCCAGCCAATGGTCGTGATCTGTTCCAGGCACTCCAGGAAGAGAGGGCAGCCCTCCCAGAGACCCACATCAGACCGCATCCATGCCCAGGAGATGCCAGTCACTGATCCATGCAAGAGGAGGCCATGCTAACGGAAAAGGCTTATGCTTAAAACTTTCGTGACCGAGAAGCAAAAAAAAAAAAAAGGTGTCAATTGATTGGTGGAACCCTAAGGTATTCTTGTGTGAAATTTGAGTAATTTCACTTACTGCATTTCAAAGATGCAAAACGTCATAATTGTGAGTATGTATGTTCCTTTCAGTAACTATGGGTTTCTTTTTTGAGTATAAACCAACAGCTTTATCTCCTAACCTCTTCCATAAAAATTAAAAACAATTTAACCAACATGTTACATTCAAACTGGCCATTTATTGTTCACAAAATGCATCGTGTTTCACATTCATGCACCAGTGATGTAATTCTTTGACATGGGTTCTTCAGTGTTACAGCTTATGTTTCAGTTTTACCAGCCTGTTTTACTTTGCATGGTCTGACAAATATCATCATCATCATCAGGTGCCTTGCCGTCTGGCGAGGGCGATCATGCTTTTCCATAATCCCCGATCTCCTGCAGCATGTATCAGTTCGTGTGCCGACACACCTCCATGCCATGCAACAAGACTGTCAAGCATCTTCTCTCATTGTCTTCCTCTATCCCTCCCTTCACAAATCTTTCCAGTGGTCACAACATGTTCTGTTTTCCCTCTTCTCATAACATGGCCGAAAAATGATGACTTTCTCCTTTTGATGTCTGTGATAAGTTGTCTTCGGGCTCCCGCCTTTTTCAAAACCTATTGGCTGCTCTTTTTGGCTGTCCAAGGTATTCAAAGCATTCTTCTGTAAAACCACACCTCTGACATATATACTTTTATAATTTTTCACACACGTGTCATCTTACTCTTCTATCAACTAATTTACATACAAATTAGCTTTGGTACAAGAAATAAAAAAAAAAGAGTATAAACCAATTGTCACATCACTAGACTAGACTTCTCATGCATATTGCAGGTAATTATAAACTACTAAACCTGGCAGATTAGTGTTGCAGAAGTCAAGAACATCTGACCAATAACAAGCTGTTTAGACTTGAATGAATAAAACAAATCTGTAACCAAATTCTTTTATCTGATTAAAAAAAAAATTGTTTTTAAATATTTTTGTTAATGAAGACTAGTTTGGTCATATCATGTATTGTGTTCGTTTTTAGATAGCCTGTCTGATCCACAGGCAGGCAATAAATATATCCCCCTTAATCATTCAATTTGGCAAAAGTGACAATGTCCAGTTGGCACCTAGAAATTATTATTATCATAAATCTGTTAAATAAAGCAGTTCAATATTTCTGCAAAACATTATGCATCTGAATCAAACATAACATACATGCAGGTCAATAAACAACTGTATAAAACAAATCAGCTCACGATTTCTTCAAGAAGCTGATTTTTTTATGCTGGTCTTTAACTCTTCAAGCACTAGGCAATTGTTGGAGATCCCAATGTGTGTGTAATTTAGAGTCACACTGTTATTATGAAGGGATGGAAATACTACAATGAGTTAAAGCAGGAGTGGGCAACATATCTTTCTGCCAAGAGCCATTTAAATATTTATAATACCCAAGGACCATACAAAAATTATCAACTTCAGAATGTGATGGCTTCAGCTGGTCAAACATTGAATGGCAGCTGCCTTGTCAGGGCCACACAAAATGATTTTCTGGGCCTTGTACAGCTCAGGGGCATAATTTCCCCCACCCTGGATTAGAGTAATAGAAGAATACGACCCCTTAGAAAGTTAAAAAATGTAAACTCTAGGGGAAAGTTCTGGTTGTTCATCTACTTTTGGACTCTGGTCTTAGTACAGAGCTTAGTGTTGAGTGCACATACCATTTTACAGATCTGGCTTATTTGTATGCAGACTGTTGGTTCCTTGCACTCTGACTTTAAAAGAACCACTCCTAATTAGTCGCCTCCTTGTGGGGCAGAGTGTCTATTCTTTATTCACTAATATAGATCCCCAGAACCCATACAGGAGCTTTGTAGTGAAACATGTAATCCCACAGGACAGAAAAACTATCTGACTTTGAAACAATACAGAAGAAATTAAACTGTACAAGCAACACTTGCAAGTGATAGTGCCTGCAACACATTCCTCGCCAGTGGTTTTAATGGTGGTTTGGGGGGGGGGGGGGGGGGGGGGGGGGGGGGTGTGTGCAATTTCAAGAAAAATCCTTTTTTTGCAGCCAAAGAAGAGACTTGATTGTGCAAACTGTTTAAACTCTTTCACGGTACAAAACAAGGCAGCAGCTATGGTCTAGTGGCTAGATGCTCACTTGCGGATTGGAAGGTCATGGGTTCGGTTCGGTACTGGACTTGTTTCAAAAATGGCCTTGGCTCCCAGCCTTAAGTGGGTACCAGGTACAGTCCTGGGAAGCAAAGGCGGCTGGCCTAATGCTGACCATATCATCCACCAAGTGCCGTTTGGTCTACAAAATATAGGTCTAGCCCTATTTACCCAATATGCCTGAAGGCGTAGAAAAGGGTCCTTTAGTTACTTTACAGTACAAATAAATAAATTATGCAATTTTGTAATCAAGTCTCTTATTTTTGACTATTGATTCTTTTTGGCTTAATGATGATGTCAGTGGCAACTCTGTTGGAAGTCTAGGAGATGATTTAACTTCTTTCCCATGTGGGTTCCAGGGATTCATAGTGGGGGAAAACAAAAACAGACCCACTCCCACCCCGACAAGCATGTCGTAAGAGTTGACTAACTAGGGGCTTCCTTTGAAGTTGAAGTGAGTCTACATGAGAGGCAAGATACCAACAGTCTGCATACAAATAAGCAACAAATTAGCAAAATGGTTGTGCAGACAACACTCAGATTCTGGAACACAACTTAAGTCAAAGGTGGACGAACAACCAGAACTTTTCATTAGAGTTTACAGCTGGTGAACGCAAAGAAGAAAAAAAAGATTTAAGCACATTCATTCCCACCCTATGCTACCAGTGCCAGACATGGTCTCTCACTACAAACCAGAAAAGAGAATTAATAAGCATGGAAAAGTGATGTTTGAGAAGGGCTTCAGGAGTGACTAGAAGAGATAATAATCAGGAAAAGACGATTTCTGCACATAAGCAATTCTAAAATTACATCCAAATGAAATGGTTTGCTCACTTATAAAATTTATACATCAAAAGAGGAGAAGGACACAGAACATGAGGCAGACTAAGAACAAAATAGAAAGATAAGATCAGAAAAACTCTACAATAGCATGATTTGTCTATGGCTGACAGAGCCAGAAGAATAACCTTATATCTCCCTCGACACACAAGTGGTACATGAGGAAGTGAAGAAGAAGAAAGAAGTTAGTACAAATCTTAACAAAAACTGTTGTAAGAATATATTATGTGGTAGCAGAAGCACACTGGGAGCCATAGTAGCAAAAGTGACTACAGTGGTGGCCAACAGTTTAAGACCACCTGGCGAATAACTGATTTCTCCACACTGTTAAGGAGTACTATTATAAAGCCCACTAAAGGCAATCATTGCAGCCACCATTCGACCTAAAACAGCAGTTGATGCAATTCTCCTTAATAGCGTGGACACAATTATTGACTAGGTGGTCTCAAACTGTAACCACTTTTGTAGCAGCCTGCCTGCGATTTGAAGGGTTCAAACTCACATCCTGGTGAATTGTTATAATACAAGTCGGGTTTTCCAGTCAAAAGCCTACAGCTGGTACCAAGAAATGTGCTGGCAAATCAAATGGTTCTAGAATCATATGTATGATGTCCCAGTGGCTTGGACAAAGTTCTTTATTTTTAAAACACAGAACAAAGAAATAAATGACACAAGTATTCCGGGATCCATTTTTAGAAAGGATAAGCAACAACCTGTAATAAAAAATATTATTAAAAAAATTTATATTTAAAACTACTATTTTTTTTATTAGACTGAAATTTTAAACATCAATTTTATTTTTCAAAAACAGTTTGGAATAATATAGCTGCTCTCAGGCATTCCGTTTTGATGGTTCCACATATTTCTTTCCTATGTAATCAAAGATGTCTTCCTCTGAGGCGACAGGCAGTGGCTCTCCAGGAACTCCTGAGGAAACAAATACATTAGAATGAAAGTTATGATTTAATAAAATGTCCAAATGATGAAGAAAGAAAAATAAAATTAAACAGTCTTACACATAGCAACCTTCTGGTAACTGATGGAATACTTCTTGCAAAACTTTCTCAGCTCTCAACACTTGTTTAAATATCTTTTTCCTTTCTGTATTCACACTAGTCTAGTATGTTATGTCCTTGCCCTAGGCAATTTATGACTATCCTGTCACTTGTTTACTTCCTGTATCCCCTTATAATTCCTGACCTATAACAATTTATATTTCCAGTTCTCTGTAACCATGCAGTTCAGCCAATTTTATGAATTTATCTCCAATAAGCTATTATCTTATTTTCATATAATGTTCATTTGCATGCAACTATTGGTATCCACTTGCTTTTGTTTACTGAGAAAGGCTATGTAACAGCAACATCAACAATGTCATCTGTATACTGTTACACACACAAAAAAACTGCATAGTTATTTGATGGCATGTTGTTATTGGTAGACTGAAAAGACTGTCCCTGTTCCTTTCAGAAGCTATGTTTTTTGTTTGTTTTGTTGTCGTTGTAGTAATACACTTATGTTCTTGCAAATCAAACCATTCCAATTTTGTTTAATTTACTGTCTATTTACAGTTTTGAGGCAGTTCAATGAACTCTTTTTTAATCTTATTCTTCTTTCAGCTTCAGCCCAATGGAATGTGGGCCCTCAACCAACCAGCAAGTCCGCCATCTGAAAGCATCACAGTATTTCACAATTGCAGACTCACTAACATTTACCAAGGTTGCACTGGATCAATGAAACAGTACAGATGAACAAACATTTCCGACAGTCACAAACTGGGCACTGCCTTACGTGTATTTTATGTTTGATGCATGTTTAGTACACCAGGCCCTTAGCCTTGGCTGGCAGCTGGTCTAGCAAGCAAGCTCCGACAGGGGACATAGTACTAGTTTTCTGATCCAGCTTCTTCTGCAGCATGCTTTGTTTAAAATGCACTGGTGTTATCTTTACTTTGAAGCAAACAAGGTAGGCCGAGAGAGGGATCATGATGCATGGGCATCATTTAGCAGTAACAAAAGACTCAAACCCAAAAGGACAAAAAAAAAGTGAAAATAACTGCAAGTGCTTCTCCTGCCAAATGATGACATTTACAGCTACAGATTCAGCATGAGTAGTGACTCTTCAGTGGGGTGTTCCTACAGTGAAGTGGTTGAGCTGACTGCCTCAAGGTCTGAAGGCTGTGGGTTTAGTTTTAGAATCTGTCCTTCAATTTGCTGGTGCAGACGTTTAGGAAATCCCTGAGGGTCAATGCTGGAGTCATACAATACCTGGTCCAATAATGTCGATCCTCTCATCTTGATTTTCTTCAGTGACTCCAGGAAATAACCATGTTCAAATCACAGACCCCCCTCCCCCCAACACAATACAAATATAAAAACAATAAAGTAATGACGTTTTTTTTCATGTCAAAAGAGATTTCCAAGCAGATACAAAACATGAAACACACTGACTGCCCACACTGCCAGCCTGACCTGTGCTGCCCACTGGGCGAATGGTGTACTCGTTGAGGATGAAGCCTTGCTCTTGAGCTTCTTTACGCATGTTGATGTTGAACACATCTGAGCCAGTGAAGTAAAGTAAAGCGCAGTGGTACTGGTCATAGGGAATCAACCTAGTCACAGTGGCAAATCAAGGAACCAGCATTAAAACTGAGGAATGACTAAGTTAATGGTAGGGAAGGTGTGGAAAACAGTATTTACAAGTAATAACAACAGACTGTTATCAATAAAAGTTTGCATGAAACAAGTCATCACAGCCAATCAGCAGTTTCCTACATAACTAACATTCCAGTATGTGTATGAAACATATGACCGACACAACAATATATGATACTGACAGCAGGACAATATACTTTATACTCTCCAACATTTTAGGAAGGCTAATTCCAGGTTGAAAACTGGAGGAGATGACTGTGTGTAAATTAATGTTTCCTCTACCACCCCTGATGTCTGAGGATTTATTTTGGTTTGGACTTTCAGCTGACTACAGTGAACTCTATGTGCACGTGCATGGTTCTGTATTGCTGCATTAATTCTTTCTTTCCTGTGTCAGTGTTATAATGCTTGAACATTGCTTTCTTTCCTGTGTCAGTGTTATAATGCTTGAACATTGCTTTCTTTCCTGTGTCAGTGTTATAATGCTTGAACATTGCTTTCTTTCCTGTGTCAGTGTTATAATGCTTGAATATTGCTTTCTTTCCTGTGTCAGTGTTATAATGCTTGAATATTGCTTTCTTCCTGTGTCAGTGTTATAATGCTTGAATCTGTGTCAGTGTTATAATGCTTGAACATTGCTTTCTTTCCTGTGTCAGTGTTATAATGCTTGAATATTGCTTTCTTTCCTGTGTCAGTGTTATAATGCTTGAATATTGCTTTCTTTCCTGTGTCAGTGTTATAATGCTTGAATATTGCTTTCTTTCCTGTGTCAGTGTTATAATGCTTGAATATTGCTTTCTTTCCTGTGTCAGTGTTATAATGCTTGAACATTGCTTTTTCCTGTGTCAGTGTTATAATGCTTGAACATTGCTTTCTTTCCTGTGTCAGTGTTATAATGCTTGAATATTGCTTTCTTTCCTGTGTCAGTGTTATAATGCTTGAATATTGCTTTCTTTCCTGTGTCAGTGTTATAATGCTTGAACATTGCTTTCTTTCCTGTGTCAGTGTTATAATGCTTGAACATTGCTTTCTTTCCTGTGTCAGTGTTATAATGCTTGAACATTGCTTTCTTTCCTGTGTCAGTGTTATAATGCTTGAATATTGCTTTCTTTCCTGTGTCAGTGTTATAATGCTTGAACATTGCTTTCTTTCCTGTGTCAGTGTTATAATGCTTGAATATTGCTTTCTTTCCTGTGTCAGTGTTATAATGCTTGAATATTGCTTTCTTTCCTGTGTCAGTGTTATAATGCTTGAATATTGCTTTCTTTCCTGTGTCAGTGTTATAATGCTTGAACATTGCTTTCTTTCCTGTGTCAGTGTTATAATGCTTGAACATTGCTTTCTTTCCTGTGTCAGTGTTATAATGCTTGAATATTGCTTTCTTTCCTGTGTCAGTGTTATAATGCTTGAACATTGCTTTCTTTCCTGTGTCAGTGTTATAATGCTTGAACATTGCTTTCTTTCCTGTGTCAGTGTTATAATGCTTGAATATTGCTTTCTTTCCTGTGTCAGTGTTATAATGCTTGAATATTGCTTTCTTTCCTGTGTCAGTGTTATAATGCTTGAATATTGCTTTCTTTCCTGTGTAAGTGTTATAATGCTTGAATATTGCTTTCTTTCCTGTGTCAGTGTTATAATTCTTGAACATTGCTTTCTTTCCTGTGTCAGTGTTATAATGCTTGAACATTGCTTTCTTTCCTGTGTCAGTGTTATAATGCTTGAATATTGACATGTGTGATGAGTTTGCCGTGTACCCAACATTATCCAATAATTTAGTAAATGTTGTGTTAGTTTCCTTACATGCACAAAGAAAGTTGTTTTAAACCACAACCATAGGTAGCTGAAAAACTAAGGAGACTGACCACCTACAAGTGGATCTAATGGATAGGTAGTCTAATGCTGACACCACTATACCAGGCAGTCTAATGCTGACACCAATATGCCATCTGTTATTCTGAATGTGTCCAAGTGTCTACATATAACTGATGTGTTTACTACAAGAACTTGTGTGTGAGTGTAGGGGATTTGAACCCACACTTGCAACTACAGGGCTCAGGTGCATAACAGTCGGAATAATAACAGCATAAAATCATGAATATTAAAGGATAACAAAAACTGGCACTAAAATGTAATCACAGCCTGAAAGGAATACACATATACAATGTATTGAATGTTCCAATAAGAACATCACCAATAATAAATGAACTAAACATTTCTGAGACTACTCTTGGTCTGTAAGGTGTGGTCATGCAGCCAGCAGTGTTGGGGGCAGTTAGCTCTCCTAGGAGGGTGAAAAATGAAAATTAGTAGCCTGCTGATATTCCATGCAGCCCAACATCACCTCCCCGTGGAGCCAACTGGAAACTGTATCCCTGAGGATACAGACCAATGTGAAAAAGGCCACCTAGAAAGAAATCCCCCCCCCCCCCACGAGTTGAAATTATAACAAGTGAGTCATTTAAAAAAATTAGGATCTATTTTAAGTGACCTAGGACTGAGACCAAAAATCATGTCTAGGATTGCCCTGACAACATCAATCCTTGCCAGGCAGCAAATATTATGGAGATCATTTAAAACTAAGATTTGACTGCTAAAAGCACTAGCTATTAGTACATTGTCATAAGCCTGCGACATGTGGACCGGAACAGCTGAGCTCAAAAAGAAGATACAAACATTAGAAATGCAATTTTTAAGAAAATTTCCTAGCTTTACATTCAAAGACCAAATAAAAAATGATGAAGTTCGTCAGATAATTATCCAGCACAATGGCAACTATGAACCGCTTTTAACTACAGTGAAATGGAACAGAAATGTAATAAGATCTAATGGCCTGCTAAAAAAAATCAATGCTACAGGGCTCAGCAGAGGGGAAGAGGCAGACCAAGAAAGATGTGGACACAGAACCTGACTAACTGGACAGGCCTTAGGCATACAACCTTGAAGTCCATCACATCTGACAGTCAAAAGTGGAAGGATTTGATCAGACAGTCAACTGTGTTAAGGAATAGTGACTCTACGAACAGCACATTTTGTTAGAGAAGAATCTAACTGTGCTGAATATCAGAAACATAATGATATCCATTATCTGAGTGCAGACAAATATGAACAAGAAAGGTTGGCACTTACAAAACATACAACTGCAATTAATCTAAAAAAACAGAAACCATATGGCAGGCAAAACTACAGAAATGCAAAGCAGAACTGAGTTAAATACTTACAACTTCAACTGTATAAGATGATCTAAGCAAGATTATACAAACACGCTATCTTATGAAAACTGTAACTCACCGAATGTCAATTCTTCTAAATGAATGCTCAGTTCCATCAGCTGATTTTGGCAACTGGCAAACACCCTGCAATCATCAGTAATGGTTAAAGAGAGAAAAACAGAATACAGCTGTGTCTGAGTAAGTGACGTACAACCCACCAGAACCGCACTACGAGTGATTAACACCAGGTGAAGCAAAGTGCCACCCTGAGGATGAGAATCCCCCCAGGCACATGTCCCAGAAACCCTGTTCAACTGTTAGATTATATTAAAGTGGGAGCTTTAACCCCCCCCCCCCTTTCCTGTCTTTCATCTCTCTATGCAATAGTCTTCCTCTCCTTTTATCTCACTATGTGATAGTCTTCCTCTCCTTTTATCTCACTATGTGATAGTCTTCCTCTCCTTTTATCTCTCTATGCAAAAGTCTTCCTCTCCTTTCATCTCACTATGTGATAGTCTTCCTCTCCTTTTATCTCTCCATGCAAAAGTCTTCCTCTCCTTTCATCTCACTATGTGATAGTCTTCCTCTCCTTTCATCTCACTATGTGATAGTCTTCCTCTCCTTTCATCTCACTATGTGATAGTCTTCCTCTCCTTTCATCTCACTATGTGATAGTCTTCCTCTCCTTTCATCTCACTATGTGATAGTCTTCCTCTCCTTTCATCTCACTATGTGATAGTCTTCCTCTCCTTTCATCTCACTATGTGATAGTCTTCCTCTCCTTTCATCTCACTATGTGATAGTCTTCCTCTCCTTTCATCTCACTATGTGATAGTCTTCCTCTCCTTTTATCTCACTATGTGATAGTCTTCCTCTCCTTTTATCTCTCTATGCAATAGTCTTCCTCTCCTTTCATCTCACTATGTGATAGTCTTCCTCTCCTTTTATCTCACTATGTGATAGTCTTCCTCTCCTTTTATCTCACTATGTGATAATCTTCCTCTCCTTTTATCTCTCTATGCAATAGTCTTCCTCTCCTTTTATCTCACTATGTGATAGTCTTCCTCTCCTTTTATCTCACTATGTGATAGTTTTCCTCTCCTTTAATCTCACTATGTGATAGTCTTCCTCTCCTTTTATCTCACTATGTGATAGTCTTCCTCTCCTTTTATCTCACTATGTGATAGTCTTCCTCTCCTTTTATCTCACTATGTGATAGTCTTCCTCTCCTTTAATCTCTCTATGCAATAGTCTTCCTCTCCTTTCATCTCACTATGTGATAGTCTTCCTCTCCTTTCATCTCACTATGTGATAGTCTTTCTCTGCCTTTCATCTTTCAATTGTTACTGATTAGTAACATATTATTTGATACTACAGAGACATACATACCATAAACTTGGTGTCCCCAAGTGACAATGTATCTGTTATAAAGTGTATCTCCTCCAGTTTTTTTACCACATCATGCAGCAGTGTTGGCTGTAACAAGACAAGAGGAATTTATGTCATACATCTGATTTACTGCAGTCACATCTGGGAAGGCAGAATATGGGAGAACATTCTAAGTGATAAAGTCCATCTATGGAAGCCAAAAAAACCAATTCTTCAGACATGTTGACCCTATTACTGTAATATACATGTGGACAATGGATCAAGACTTAAATCAGACAAACCAGAGAGATGCATGGGTTCAATAATAGTGTCCAGTCTCTGCTGCTGCATATCTTCAGCAACGTGTCTGATTTGAGCAACAAACGTGCTTCTGGTTGAGCTGCTCATTATGTGCCAATGATTTGGCCTGCTTGGACTTTCTTAAATGGATCTTGATTAGGTATGTGACATTTGAAGCATTACAGTGATCACAATACCCATTGAGTGACGATTGGCTTAAAAATATGGGTTGCACCATATACACAATAATATTTATAGCATTTAAAAAGGTCGTTTCTTTTATTCTCACGACTGTTACAGTAGTGCCCTCCTCGCCAGTACAACGGAATTTGTGCACTGCGCTGAGATTCTTCACATGATGTTGATCCGTTGAATAAACCAAGCCACAGAGACTTAATTTGTGATATACCATCCCCTCTCTGCAATATACAGTATCTAAATCTGACCTGAAAACTTCCATGTAACAGAAATAACCATCAAATGTACTGTGGGAACACAACTAAGTGCAGGGTATCAGTTATACTACATCTACCAGATAACAGTACAAGTTATAAACCCTTTTCTTAGATGTTGATGTGTAACTTGGATGAGTCAGCAAGAAATCAATGTCACCACTGCTCTCTGCTCCTGAAATATACAACAAAAGACTTCTAAAACATCTAGAAATACTGAAACAATGAACATAAGACTTAAAGCACATAGAACTATTGAAACAAACAACACACGATTTCTAAAGCATACAGAACTATAGAAACAATCAGCACAAGAATTATATCTAAAGTACATAGAACTGCTGAAACAAAGAACACAAGACTTTTATCTAAAGCACACAGAACTACTGAAACAATCAACATAAGGCATTTATCTAAAGTACACAGTACTACTGAAACAATCAACATAAGACTTCTATCTAAAGCACACAGAACTACTTAAACAAACAGAACTTGACCTTTGAAATACACATACATTTTTAAAACACAGAACACAAGGTTAAGGAAGCATCTGAGAGCACTGAAACAGACACACCCACCCACGCACACATTAAACTGTCTGAAACTCAGAATACAAGAGTTAGGAAAACAATATTAAACATCTTAAAGCAAAAGGGAATTGCAGTATGCAATACAAGATTTCTGAAGCATGTGGGAATATTGCAAACACTCAAAAAAGAATTTCTGAAACACACAATACAAGGCTTTTAAAACACACAACATAAGATTTCTGAAACATACAATGCATGACTTCTGAATTATTCATAAGTAGGGAAACATAAGGCATTTGAAACTTCTTTGTTTGAAAAATAAATCCTGAGTTTTAACAATTAACTTCAGACTAATGAAAACATACATGACATTAAAATAAGACAAACATTTATAATTAATGTATTTCAAAATTAATCAACAATCATGTTCGTCACGTTTGCATTTTATTCTACCACATTTTCCTATTCAAGATTCTGAAACACATTCTGAAATATTCTAGATTGTAGAAACATTATAATAAAAGGAGCACTGACCTCTTCTAAAACTCCCACAAACTTCTGCTGCGTAAGTTTTGTCGATTTCATGAATCTGTTTTAGCACCAGATTCTGATGGACAGAACCAATAAATTATTGGTAAAATCTTAACAGAAATGCATAAACAGCTTGTCTCAGTGCTGTCTGCTAGGTAATATGTTGTGAGTAAAATATGATGATGATGTTTATGGTTTTATAAAACATTTCAAAGACCCCAGAATTTGCTCTCGCTCATAAATATAAATTGGTTAAATTTGCTATAGTATAACAGCACACTTGGCAATTATGTGTCAGAATTTCCATCAAGACAAGGTTTAAAATAAAATAAAAACAGTACCTGGACTCCTAGGTTGACCCAGCCTCATTCTGTGGTCCCGTTACGTCATATACAGCTCACATCTGATTCCTGCATTTCACTACATTCTGTGCAATTTTTTTCATTGATATTGTCTCTTTCTCTCTTAACAGTGAATCTAACCTGGCAGCTCTACACTCTCTAACCAACATTCATCATTCTAAAATAATCTTCATTTCCCAATCCATTTGGTTCAAATCTGACTGCCAGTTTTGTGATTCTATGTCCTAGAAGGTGCTGGAGAGAGGGGGAATGAAAAGAGAGTAGCTGAAAGAAATTATTAAGAGAGACAAGTTGAATATTTCAGCCACATTAAAAGGCATAACACTAAAAACCAGACGAGGGAAATGTTGAAGGTAAGAGTGATACAAGTGGCAGGACAGTATCAAGAGATGGACAAATAGCAGTGTGAGAAAGTGTACAACAAAGATGACAGACAGTGAATATGTGCACGAGTAAGTTCTACTTCTTCTGCCCTTTATCACCCAGTACAGAAGAGGCCACCAACCAGCTCTTGTTCATAGTTGGTTGGCTTTTACAGCTAAAGCTTTCTACAGGATAGAGTGGTATCAAGGTGTATAACATTATCAGAACACATGATAAACATACAAGGTTCACATGACTTGCCTGTAGCTCAACCATCTCCTCTCTTGGAATTCTTTTCTCAAAATCCTCAAAATGTCTGAAAATAATGTTAACAAAACCCAGAAGTCATAATGCTCAACTTCAAAGAAATGTTTTCTTGTTATCAATATAAATAATGAAGCCACAAAGGACAAACTGAACTGTTTACTGCTTGACACATTTCCCTGAGTCTAGAGAATAATACAACTGATTAAGTCACATACAATGGAATGCAACAATATTTCACTGTTCTGCGTCTAGAGAATAATACAACTGATTAAGTCACACACAATGGAATGCAACAATATTTCACTGTTCTTAGTCTACAGAATAATACAACTGATTAAGTCACACACAAAGGAATGCAACAATATTTCACTGTTCTGAGTCCAGAGAATAATGCAACTGATTAAGTCACACACATTGGAATGCAACAATATTTAACTTTTCTGAGTCCAGAGAATAATACAACTGATTAAGTCATCATACAATGGAATCCAACAATATTTCACACTTCTGAGTCTAGAGAATAATACAACTGGTTAAATCACATACAATGGAATGCAACAATATTTCACTGTTCGGAGTCTAGAGAATAATACAACTGATTAAATCACATACAATGGAATGCAACATTATTTCAATGTTCCTAGTCCAGAGAATAATACAACTGGTTAAGTCACCATACAATGGAATACAACAATATTTCACTGTTCTGAGTCCAGAGAAATAATACAACTGATTAAGTCACCATAAAATGGAATGCAACATTATTTCAGCTGCATAGAATTACTGATAATTCAACAGTCAATCTGTTAAAAAAATTGCAGCTTGACACTATTAGACAAATGACTGCTGCAATGACATTACTTAGACCACTGATTACTGCAGTGACGTTACTTCATCATTATCGTGTGCCACACTGAGCAGTGCAGGAAATCATGTTACCTCACAAAATGTCTGTCACCTGTTTCTTGATCACCTTCTTTATCGCCACGGTGTGTTGTGGTTTATAACTATATATAGCTATAAATAGCTGAGATGTATGCGGCTTTTGGCCCAATACAAGTGAAATGCCAACTTCTGGTATTTTCACAGTCTAAGGCATTTAAAAAAAAAAAACCATGTCTTCATGGCCTTCAGTTTCTTTCCACTTTTATTTAGTTCAATGTCCATTATTCAAGAGTACAGCGGGATGGGCAGTATGCAATATACACAAACTCATTTTCTGACTTAGTGGACAGTGCTTAATTACACAGAATGTTCTTTATTCAATGGAGTGCTTTTTTTGCTTGGATTATTCTTTATGCTATCTCTGTATAGACAATCTAATATCTTTCCTTGTTTCAGTGCTGTCCAATCTTCTCTCTGTCCTAACAATGCCCCATGACATATTATTCTGTAAGTGGACACTTAAAAAAACTCTTCTTCCATTAACATGGTTGATGTTACTTACTTCAACCCTATCTGTTGATGGTGGTTCAGCTTGTTCACATTTTTTCTTAGATCTGCCAAAGATTTAAAAACATATATGTTATGTGGGGCACAAATCAATTCAAAATCAACACTAAAATACATGAATTCACTCATAACAGTATATACCAATAGTATAGATAGCTACTTCACGAGTTTCAATGATCGATAAATAAACTCCCAACAGTATACTGAGGCACATGAACTTCACAACAGTGTCTGGACAGGTAATATTGGTACAGTTTACTGAGGCGCATAAACTTCACAACAGTGTCTGGACAGGTAATATTGGTACAGTTTACTGAGGCGCATGAACTTCACAACAGTGTCTGGACAGGTAATATTGGTACAGTTTACTGAGGTGCATGAACTTCACAACAGTGTCTGGACAGGTAATATTGGTACAGTTTACTGAGGCGCATGAACTTCACAACAGTGTCTGGACAGGTAATATTGGTACAGTTTACTGAGGCGCATGAACTTCACAACAGTGTCTGGACAGGTAATATTGGTACAGTTTACTGAGGCGCATGAACTTCACAACAGTGTCTGGACAGGTAATATTGGTACAGTTTACTGAGGCGCATGAACTTCACAAAAGTGTCTGGACAGGCAATATTGGTACAGTTTACTGAGGCGCATGAACTTCACAACAGTGTCTGGACAGGTAATATTGGTACAGTTTACTGAGGCGCATGAACTTCACAACAGTGTCTGGACAGGTAATATTGGTACAGTTTACTGAGGCGCATGAACTTCACAAAAGTGTCTGGACAGGCAATGTTGGTACAGTTTACTGAGGCGCATGAACTTCACAACAGTGTCTGGGCAGGTAATATTGGTACAGTTTACTGAGGCGCATAAACTTCACAACAGTGTCTGGACAGGTAATATTGGTACAGTTTACTGAGGCGCATGAACTTCACAACAGTGTCTGGACAGGTAATATTGGTACAGTTTACTGAGGCGCATGAACTTCACAACAGTGTCTGGGCAGGTAATATTGGTACAGTTTACTGAGGCGCATGAACTTCACAACAGTGTCTGGACAGGTAATATTGGTACAGTTTACTGAGGCGCATGAACTTCACAACAGTGTCTGGACAGGTAATATTGGTACAGTTTACTGAGGCGCATGAACTTCACAACAGTGTCTGGGCAGGTAATATTGGTACAGTTTACTGAGGTGCATAAACTTCACAACAGTGTCTGGGCAGGTAATATTGGTACAGTTTACTGAGGCGCATGAACTTCACAACAGTGTCTGGACAGGTAATATTGGTACAGTTTACTGAGGCGCATGAACTTCACAAAAGTGTCTGGACAGGTAATAATGGTACAGTTTACTGAGGTACATGAACTTCACAACAGTGTCTGGACAGGTAATATTGGTACAGTTTACTGAGGCGCATAAACTTCACAACAGTGTCTGGACAGGTAATAATGGTACAGTATAATCAAAATAGGTTAGGAACGCTAGGCTCTCAAGCAGGAGATTGATCTGAATCCTCAATAAGGTTGGGGATGTGTTTTTTTTTTCTGTTAATGGTAAAAATAAGATTTCAAAATGCAAAGTCCACAGTGGCAGCATTAGCCAAGTGGCTCTAAAGCTCAAGCTCAAAGACCCTCCCCCACCCCATACTTCAGAAGTGGTAAATTCAGGCAGTTTTATAATAAAATAGAAGGTAGACTGGAAATAGATCAGCCCACATGTAAAAAAAAATACCAAATACTACAAAGAAAAACTAATGTTTTTAAAATATATTTAAAAAAATAATTATGTGAAGTTGCACTTTTAAAAGTAATAAAACCATACATTTTAAACAAATACAAGAGGTTCTACCTTCAATGGACATTATGCCTTCACCAACTAATTTCTTAGCAGCAGCTGGACTGGTTAAAAAAAAAAAAATCAATATGGAGATCAGAATGTTCAGATACATAACAATAACGTAAGCAACACTGATAAAAATATTCAAGTATTAATATAATGCCAAATAGTACATTTTACCCCACTAGGACATCACACAAGTAATAAACACCCGACAACACAAAGTGCCACCATGTGGATGAAAATCATCCGTGGAGAGGTCCCAGGTTCAGCCATTAGACCATATTTATGGCCAGGCAATACTGTGGCCCCCGGGGTGGGGCTTTAAAATAATGAAAAAATTGCATCCCACAAGATGATGACTAGTATATTATAACGCCAAAAATGGTTTCAATTCCAGAATGAACGCAGTTGGCTAACCAAATTTGCAAAAATACATTTGAAAGAACTAAAGCAAGAAAAGCTATGCCAGCAAACAGCTAATTTTGCTGATATATGTTTAGACAAAACTTATCAATACATAAGCACTGTACAAATAAATAATAGTAAGCCTAATGGATATAAGCCTGAGCAATTAGTACTACAAATGAAAAATTGTAATGACAAAGTTACAAGCAGGCTAAAAGTTAACTGTTAACCTGAAACCATAGATAACTGTTATTATCAAAGCATTTTTAAAAATCACTATACCTTCATTGATAACAAAATAAACAGTTGATTAGACACCTAAAGGTACACATTTTGTCCTTTCTAAATTGGTGTTAAGGTGTTTCATAGACTTATGGCACAGGTGTGTACAATCATTTAACCAAACAGATTTATTTGTATATTCGTGGGCTGTCTCTGGTGTGAATTTATCAAACTGTTTGGGTGGATGCCTGAAAGCATACAATTTTTTTAAATATTTAAAAATATCATTTTTGAACTACACATGACCTACTTCTATAATAATAAATACCCATCTAAAAAAAACAACAATTGTATAGCCAGTTATTTATTTACATTCAGCACATAAAGCCTTTCGATAGTCAGCCAATTCAGGGCATTTTTCGCAAAATGATCAGTTAATGTGTTGATAAATAGATCAAGACCCATCTGGCAATGTGAAAATTAATATAATGTTGCATACTAGGAATTTAGCTTTCAGGTTCTTGGGTCCCATTTGGGGGGTGGGGGGGGTGGGGGGAGCAGAACCCCCCCCCCCCCCCCCCCCTCAATGTGCATTTCATAATAGGTGACTAATTGGGGATTTTTCCTTCAAAGTCAGAGGCCTGTGAGGCAAGGAACCAAGACTCTGCATTTAAATAAGCCAGTTTTCTAAAACTGGTGTGCATGAACAACAACCAGAACTTTCCATCAGAGTTTAGAGTTGGTGGACACTAAGAAGAAAATACTGGGATAGTTAAATGTCAGAAGTTTTCTGCAACAAATTAAATGTCTTACCCTATTCCAGTCACTTTTGTCAGCTCATTGATAGCCATACTGTGATCATCTGCATGGATCTAGTATCAAGAAAAAGTTAATAATACTTAGGATACCCCAGTAACATATGTAAAGAAAGATACACCAGAATGAAAGACTAAACAAATTGCAACACAAATACGCTTTTTCAGGCAACATAAAACATAACTTCACATTCTAGTTGTACGAAATGACAGAGCTTCAAACACAGTAGGCCTGAGTAAAGTGGTCAGCCCCTTTCCCCGCCATTATTCAGTCATAGTAAGATCTAGGGTGTCTGTTATACAAGAGATGGAATCCTGTAACTAGTGAGGTGATAAACTTGACCAGCCAGTGGGGGTAGTCAGTAGACAAAATCATAAATATATTTCGAATAAGTTTACTGATCACAAAATTAGTATACTTATCACAAATACAGCACTAACCAGCAAAACTCATGTGAACAGAACAAATAAACACAAGACAATCTATGACTTTGCAGCTCCATGAGGGAAGAAAAACATGCAACACAGATACAATCCAATGTTTTGGCTAAAGTCTTTATCAACTAAAAACATAATAACAATTCCAAACTACAATGCGATTGAGAAAGTCACATAGGAAAGATTCACATATGTGTATAATCGCATAAATATGTGGTCTTGGAAACAAATAATAAGTCCAACAACAAATCAGTAAAAGAACTTACTTTTTCCAATTTGTCTAGCTTCCCTGTTTTAATAAACTCATCAATTTTCTTAGCAATTTTCTCTCCAATACCATCCTGATTTTGAAGTAAATAAAATGGTAAATTAAATGTCACATAATTTATTTAATAAGTGCTGCTAATTTGTCTAAATCTTTAATTCAATAATGTCAATCTTTTCTTAAACATATGACCTTTCATGCCATGATGCCAAACTATCCAACATCTTTTCTCTCTTGGTCTCCCTCTCTTTCCAAACTCCAACTTTCCCACAGTCACAACATACTCCAGTTTTCTAATTCTCTGGACCTACCCAAAGATGCATACTATATATTTTGTTAATAATGCAGAGATAATCATTTTTTTTCATGAGTTCTTTTAAAGATACCTACAGAGTATATTAAATATGTTCATAGTGTTCACAAATGTTCTATAGAACCATGTCCTGCAGCTCTACCTGCATATAAATGTATTCTATGTTTTTTTTTGTGCAAAATAATTTTTAAATACTTTGGTGCCAGTGATATACATACATTTCAAACCAGTGCCAGGAATAAAACTAAGATAATACTTCCAGATTAATATCATATCTTTATCAGATAGGCTGAAGTTCAAACTTTTATTTCTTCATTAATCAGATAAAGGCAGCCATGCAGTCATTAAATGTTTGCCTGCAAGCGCTGTTTCACAATTTCAGATCTTTCTATTAGATCTATCTGCTAATCCTAGAAATTTGTGGAAATTCTTGAGAAAGATCTGAAATTGTAAAACAGTGATTTTGGACTACAGCTTGGTCAACTTTTTGAATCTGTCAAAACATGAATGTTGTCCTTGTCCAAACTTGTCATGAACATCTTAACGCCGATTTCTGAATTTTGAGCACCAATTTCTCATGGAACTGTTAATCATAACTTTATCACTGTACACTCTACACAACCCCTGATAATTCCCATCTGCACTTTGATCTTCTGCTTGTAGAAAATGAATCACACCATGAATTTCACAGCGGAAAAGGCAAATACAGTGTTCATGTTTATTTGTTCGCAATTCATGACCCTCTGAACAAATACAACTGTAGGTTGATGTGCAGTGAACAGTAAGGCTAGTGAATGATGCAAGTAATGAACTGTGTCACTATGGCAAATAATGAATGGGGTCACTATGGCAAACAATGAATGGGGTCACTATGGCAAACGGTTTATTTTTACCAGCCAATCAGAGGTTTATTTTGGAATAGTAACTGACCTATAGAGACAGCCTAAAATCTGACCAATTTAGAAGTAAAACTGGCTGATGTGTTGGCTAACAACTATGTCCATTGAGGGCCGATTACGCTATAAAAATAAACATCTACTTTCATGCATCACTGACAGGAAAAGGATCATTTACTATAATTACAATCAGATATAAAACTATTCAGCTCTTACCAGCTGTTTTGCCTCTGCACCACTTTTAATTTTGGTGGGATGCTTTGCCAAAACACCAGCAGCTTTTCTGTAAGCATTATATTTATGTACAGCCCGATTCACATTCTTCTCATAATTTGCCAGCTCTGGAACAGAGAACACAGGAAAGCTGTAGTTGAATATGTCTACAACTGCTACAAACATTAAATAACATTAGGATATTCTCACAGTATGTCCACAGGTAATTGCATCTGCAGACCAAAATATTTTATCCTGGGACTAACGGTACCAGTTCTATGCTGGTTGACAAGACATCTCATACTTATGGTGTGCCTCTCATACCTGGCTGTGCCAGTCTTCACTCCCAGTTCTGACATTCTTAGCAGTGATATGGACATCTTAAAGTCCATGCCGTGTAGTGCTGGTAGTCATGTCTATCCACAACCTTCTGTCTCGTGTGAGGTGGACATCAATTTAGTCCAATCATCTTCTCTCCAACAACATTAACAATAACAGTGCGATCCATAGGCTGGCCTTCTGTAACGATGGCAGAGCCCGCCAATCCATTAAATCATTGTTTGAAGATAACAAACTGTACGAACTATGTTGTTTTAATATTCAGTTTCACCTCAATATTACTGCATCCAACAATTTCTGATGGTTTATTTTAAAATGTCCTTTCCATCATATTATGTTTCCACTTTTTAGTTGTGTCTTGAGACTGAGGATATAGAACTGTGTGGCTAGCGAGGTTGCCATAAACTGTGCAGATCAAGATTTTCAGGTTCTTAATTTATACCGTACCCCAAACACGAAATCCCCGTGGGAAATCCACAACTGACCTGACAGTCCATTATTTCAAGGGGTGCAAGTGTGCTGTTGTGTGTTTTTTTTTTGAGTGTTCATCTAGTGTCTTTTAATCCTAACCCTAAACTTGGGTGTAGATAAATCGCATGAAACTACAACCTGAACACCCTATAATTTATTGGGAATTTCTCCCGTGACGTTGTCGTGACGTCAGGGGTAAGTTATAAATTAAGTACCGATTTTCATCATCTTAACAGGAAATTGTACACTGGCGTTGGACACGACACATGTTAAGGAGGTTTGAGAACAGTATAGTTGGAGTGTCTTTACGCTGGAACCCAGAAGGGTATTAAAATATAGCAGACCAAAATACATGTGAAGGGAAAAAAAGAGAGGTTAAAAAGATAGGAGGACACAGGATGAGCTGCACACAATGGCAACAGTTTGTTCTGCTCCACTGCAGAATAAAAGAACAAGAAGAAAAAAAAAACAGAACAAGAAAGTGAATCCAGCATGCTAATCACTAAGTGAAATGGTCCTCAGCTTGTACATTTATACACTAACTAAAGAAAAGACTAAGGAGGCGGAAAACACATGCACAAAATTATGCAGGCAACAGACAAGGACATGATGAGGATGACAATAAACATTAACATAAGATGCGATCATGTAGCAGATCCTGGGCAGAACGTCGCTCTCACTGCAGTCTGCCTGAAAGAAACTTGGTCTCTCACCAGCTCTCCAACCTCATGTTATTTCCACCCAAGATGTAACTTATATTCTGTACTCATCTTTGGACTGGTCAGCACCTGTCTCTCTTTCCTGGTACCATGCCTTCTGCTATTATTTTGTAAAAATCTGTTTAGCGCTTGATATGACACAAATATTTCAGCTTCCGAGACAAGATGCTGTTTACTAGTCAGTCTACCTTGATGTTCAGATCTTTTAGTACCCATGGTATTCTAAGAGTCTTTTCATAATTTCTTGGGATAAAAATGTGCTAATGTAAGACACCCCATTAAAATGTAAGTGTAAGACTTTCATTAAAAAAAATTTTTTTTAAGCCATTCACAAGAATGACACTACAGTGGTCAACTTACCCATCAGGAAATCACAGAATTCTGCATTAGGGTTTTCCGTTTCTGCTTTACGTTTGCTCATATTCTTGGAATGCTGAAGACTTAATTTACTGAAATTGTTAAGGTGAGAAAACGCTCTCTGCGTAGGTCTTATGTGAAGTGTTAACTGTAATGCCAAGTAAAATAGATATCTATTACTGTACTTTCATCATTTAAAACAACAGCTGCTTAAAGCATTCTAAGTAAAAAAAAAAAAAATAAAGGTAGACTAAGCATGGTTAAAAAACTGCCACATCCATTTGACAAATCTGGTTTATTTCTATGCATTCTGGTGGTTTCTAGCCTCTGAGGCAGACCCACTTTGACTTCAGAAGAAACACTCTTGATCAGTTAACTTTTACAATGTGCTTGTTGGAGGAGTGGGGGGGGGGGGGGGTGTAACAAAACGGGGTCCCGGAACCCAAAAGGGGTAATACTAAAAAATGCAAATCAGATTTCAAAGATAGGTCATGTTAAGCATTTTCTATTTTTCTGGCACTACTACTATTATTTCTTCTTCCACTACTACTACTAGTACTACTACTACTGCTGCTGCTACTACTACATATATCTGGGTTATAAATGGGATATTCACAATTGTCTTTACTATCTTGACATTGAATATTTATGCTTGCTAATTACTTTTCTAGTCTAGTTTCAGTCTGCTTCTGAATGGATCTTCCACTGAGGTGACATGAGCCACATCTTAGTTAAGCTACCACACTGAGACTCCTTGTCTACATAGAAATAATTTTACAAGTATTGATTCTTTCTTTCTTTTCTTTTATCCAACATCTTTTCGGCATCACAGTTTAAAAGAAGATAAGTAGCCCAGCTAGGGAATGCTCGGTGTGTTGTCAAGTCTTGGGCTGTGGATGAAATTGTTGGATTCGTTCTTTCTTGGTGGCCAAACTTTAATTTGTTTCTCATGTAATGATGCATACTGTTCCCATAGTTTTTCAGATCTCTTCATTTCCACATATCTATTCTGTTAGCCTTTCTCTATCATCTAATTTCACAACTGCTTAGTTTCCTCTCTGGCATTCATAAGTCAATGTCTAAGTCTGACAATGATAACCTAAAGCTGGAATAAAAATTATAGTCATCTTTTTGTTTAATCTATTGGAATAGTAGGGTGATTTGACACACTGACATTTACTGATTTATGGTTTGTTGAATTCTTGTTTCTATTCAGATTCTATCTCTGTCGAGTCAATCACTGTTGTATGTAAAATCTTTACTACAGATGCACCAAAATATTTAAATTCATGAGTGCGTTTCAAACTTTTGCTTTCATCTTTATATCGATCTTTAAACAGATGATTCTTTGTTCTTTGTTATTAAAAATTCTTCTCCGTCTTTCGTTCGACTTAAACAGATTATCTCATGTATAGGTTATGGTGATTCAAAATGAGGGCACGTAACCGAGGAAAAGAATCTGTCTTGGCTGATGGTGCGAGGAGGCGTAGGATTACTAGTGAAACAAGACAGTAAGGAGTATGTTTTGGACTCACGCTGAGTTGAGGCTAGGTGGTCCCTTTCATGTGACACCGCTTTGGTAGCATATTATAGTGTATAGGTGAATCTTTAGATGGGCAGTTGTCCTGTGTTACCAGTTCATGCTCATCGTCATGTTGTGTTGCATCTTAAATAAACAGGCTGAAGCACGAGTAAAGAAATTACTCTTCCCATTTTGTTGATGTGGTTGGCTGCGGACTGTTCTCACTCAGTGTTAGTAGTATGATATGAATATGAGAACTGTGTTAACCTGTTACTGTTATGTCCAGGTAGGGGGAAAATTCATTAGTCGCCAGGAGGCTGGCTTGGGGGGAACTTCCACATATGAGGGAGACATAATCATTCGCCTTTAAGCATTTGGTTAGGAAGCGATACAAACCAAACAAATCGCTTCACATGGGTATGAACTTCAGTCTTTGTAATTCATTAATTCCCTCACTCAGCTACCCGTAAAGTTTCGTGTTTCTCTTAGCCACAGGTGTTGCTTTGATATGGGGCATTTAGGACAGTCATGGAAGACTATCAATAATATAAGTAATGTAATAATAGTAAGTAGTAAAGATAAGTAGTATTAGTAATAATATCTATTTAAAGTGCCACTACCAGTGGAACTTTTCACTCAGGACCGATTTTTTATTTTTTCAATGCTGAAAGTTGATTTTTCTGTGATGTTTCACGCAGTTATTGAGTACCTGGTATTGATTGGCTTTCATACATTAAAAATTCTGAACACGCGAATGTAATTTTGTGAAACAACATAAGCAAAGACAAACGATTAAATTAGAAGCAACGCAAAAAAAAAAAAAAAAACGAAGTTTCCCCTACTTTGTTCAGCATCACTCCGACACAACGACAGTAAACAATCACAGGTGCCAGGCAGTGCCAGGAGTCTCGGTCAAACATGAGCCAAATTACACCCCGGGAAAAAAAAACAATCGTCATTATGTTCCGTGTTTATATAAGTATTAGCGTGGTTAGATATAATTAGCGATCTCACAGGATCACGGCAATGTTCTTGTCTCTCCATTAGTATGGCTTATCCATCAAAGTATTTATCTGTCTGCATTCTCCTTGTTCGCTTTCTAACAATCGTGCCAGTTATTACCAAGTTCCATACCCCTGCGCTAAATAAATGTGCAAGAAGGCGAGGCGGCACCCTAACCACAAATAGAAACAGGACCCTTCCCTCCCTCCCCAATCTGTACAAGTGCCCAGTCTTCTCAATGTTTCCTTTGTGTCAGGGCCTTTGTTATTGTCGACTTCAACCAGCATTCTCTCTTGTAATTTGTCCGATGAGTGTTTCTGAAAGAACGTGTAATTCACGTGACCAGGCAGTGATTCCGAGTGTCTAAGCATATGCTTAGTGTTCAAGGCGGCTGATTTATAAAAATCAACCCAAAGACTTCAAGCCATTTAAATTACTTCAAATAAAAAGAATATAATGCGACACTAACCTAATTTAATAATACCAGAGGCATTGGACCCGGCCCGGGGGTGGGGGGGGGGGTTGTCCAGGCTCCTTGAGCCTCCTACCCCCTTCCCTCAGCCGACAGACAGACAATCCCTTTAGTCATTTTTAGAAATGGCTGAGCCTCCCACCCTCTTTCCCTAGAATATTTGCAAGTGGACTAAGTGCCACCCCCCCCCCACCCCCCCACCCCCCCCCAACCATGTATACACTTCTCTTTTTAATTATTTCTACACACATTTTTTTTTTAAATATTCAGAAACCATAAGATAATAACCATTTGGCTCAGTACAATGGATATTGCAAAACGTCGGCCTTGATTCCATGATAGGAACCGTAAATCTGGGGAAAATGTGGCTCTTCTGCCTACCCCCGGAAATGAACCAGGACCACAAGGAGTTCGTCACCCGATCACCGCGAAGTCAGGTTTAGCCAACTACGCTAAAGAGCAGGGCTTATGTATACATATATATGTATATATATATATATATATATATATATATATATATATATATATATATATATATATATATATATATATATATATATATATATATATATATATATATATATATATATATATATATATATATATATATATATATATATATAATGTGTGGGTGGGTGTGTGTAACTAGATTTGTCTACAATTCAGTACATGATAAAAATAATAGTAGTAATAATAACATTATTGATAATAATTATTATTGCCCTCTTAAACAAGGCTAAATCTCGGGTCCCCCCCACTCCCTTAAAAAATATAAGCGGATTGATGCCCCAGCTCCCTAACCCCCAACCCGATATGTTTATGACGTCACAGCTGCCATGTTTTCAAGACCATTCCTTCTCATAACACGTTTGAAAATGTGGACTGTCGGTGCCTAATTTATCTGATCCAGTTATTTATAGCTGGCCATTAAACTCTTTTTGAATACGGGAAGCAATATGTTTGTTATCAATTTGTTTGTTATTTTAAAGCCCCATCCTTGCTGTCGTCGGGGGCCTTAATATAACTTAGCGGTTGAACGGGAATTCTGGGACTTGTGCATGGGGGAATTCCCATCCTAATGGTGGCACTTTATATCACTGAATGTTAATCACTCGTCCTGATGGGGTTGAACGCCAGTCAGTCACAACTGGGGTTCGACATGCACTTTCCATGAGCACTTTGGCAGCTCCATAAAAATAAACAAACATTGAACACAATTAAAGATTAGGAAACGAAAAGTAGAATAAAAAAAGAAAGCTAGAAATTACACAGTTTTCTAGTCGAATTTCACACCTCCTCTAACACCCAACGCTCGGTCATTCTGCTGACAAGTCTGAAATAAGTTGATTCCATATAACCTGCCTGACAGCATGAAAAGCTGCACGAAGTACTGCCTAAGCGTACCCTGCTGTTCTAGGCGCTCTTTTCACTTGGGGCTCAGACAATTATATCAAGGCCTATCCACCACGACGTTCCGTTGCGTCCACAGCCAGATCGAAGCTTCGTTCAGTTATTATTATTATTTTTTTTTTTTGACTTTTTAAGTTTTTTTCCTTTAAAGCCCAGCTGCTTCTGTACATTGTATGTAGAGGTGGAGATCAGTCCTTTGCGCCTATCTCGACGGCGAAGAATTTTTACTGCGTACGCTTCATGTCTCCTAAGACCGACTACAAGATCACCATACTTTTCTAGCTTGTACAGGTGATTTTCTTTCATCGACGGCCCGTACGGCACGGTCAACTCTATCAGGATGAGCTGGCGCTTTTCCCAGAGTGCAGGACCATGTCTGGTTTCAGGCCGGTCTTTCGGATTGATTCTGGGTACTAAGACGGCCCTGGTCTTCACGTAGTTATATCCAGACAGACTTACAAACACTTGGTGACACCAACTAGAAAGAAAAGCCTACAGAAAGATGAATAGGAATGGGTTATATATTCAGCAAGGAGACTCAACAGCTCGGAAGGCTAAAGAAGAAGAAGAAGAAGAAGAAGAAGAAGAAGAAGAAGAAGAAGAAGAAGAAGAAGAAGAAGAAGAAGAAGAAAGAAGAAGAAGAAGAAGAAGAAGAAGA